GTTTTTATTGTGTGTTTTGAGCATATTGTTTAGCGGTGTCTGAAAAAAAGCGGTTAAGGAATGTTTAACGAACGGCGATGTTACACTATCGATACAAGACAGGTAAAACGCGCACCTACGTATTACATTTTATTTATGTGCTGTATGATACAGGTACAAAATGCGGCGTAAAAACGTTATTAATTTTACGCGATGAAGGCTTAATTCGGGTAAGCATAGTCGGAAGTTACCCGTTACCGCCATAGTCCTTTTCTGTCAAAAAAAGTTTGGAAACCATTGGTTTTAATTATTAGGCAATATTGAATATATGTATGTTGTGGTATGTATAAAAGACAATGACATTTGTAATGCATACGCCGATAATCTTCGATGACGGAAGGAAGCATTACACTGTATAATAGTTTATTTATAATTCTCACACAATAATTATCTAATAAATGTTAAATTCTTATATTTCGAATCAGTATCTGTTCTGTTTGTCACCAGACTAACAACACTTAATACCGTTCTTAAAATGGAATCTGTTGTAAGCAAAAGAGGTAAAACGATGTTGCTTTTTGATGGTTTTAAATATGTATTTTGTTAGATGTTACATGAAAAATTGTCAGAATAATATTTTTGAAAAAGAAAAAGTAATACTTGAAACAAAAGTTACGATCTCCATCTACGAATAAAATAAATATATTTATTTAATTATTTATTTATTTATGAAAAACGAAATTAATTTATTCTATATTATAGGTGCTCATATAGACAATTGTTCAGTCAAAAATATAGATCGTATAAAAATAAGCAACGACATGTAAGCGAAATTATCTACTTGTATTAAAATTTATAATGATAAGAATATGTAACAATTTTATATGGTTCTCAAATAGTAATTGGCGGAAAAGTCTTTTCACAAAAATAAATTTTGGCGGAAACAGGAATTATACCTTTTTTGTTTTTGACGGAAAAGGGCTATGCATAAATCTGGGAACCAGATTTTTGGCGGAAACGGGACATGTATAGTCGATCACTCCGTCATTGCGATACGCAGATGGGCATTAATAATTTTCAGTTTTAGTTTCGCGAAACGCTTTCGAAAATAATCACTAGGGAGTTGAACGCTATTTGTTATGTTTTAAGTTCAGGCGTTACATTAACTTTTACAGTGGCTGGGTGGCCAGTATTTTCGCTGCCCAATGCGCACTATCGCATTAAACGCCAATTGTCGTTGTTATGTTATCATTCGAATGTTTCCCGAAGCGATGTACGCTGATCAATCGAAATAGATCGTTGCGATAAAATGTAAATCACTACATGTTTCAATAAACGTTATCTAGTTTCGAAATTGAAGCGTGTACGAGATGTCGATCGAAAATATTCGTATGGGAAAAAATATGCAACCGCGTGGCATTTGAACATGTAGTAGTAATACGCGGTTACACTGGATGTTGGTTGTACAGTTTTCCGCGATTTATTCATGCGAGCACAACGATGTTGCGGAGATAATCGCGTCATTAAACGTATTGTACGTACATATATAGATCGTTAACATCATTACATTACCTATACGCGCGTATTGTGTGTTTTTTTGAGAAAACCGACCGTCGGGATTGTACTGATTATTGTGTGTATGTACTTTATCGAGTGACTGATACGTGTTAATACGACTACCGCGGTCGAACGGACTGTATAATGGCATGCCTGAAGCGGCAGTGATTCACATGATCGTCGACAATACCCGCGATTTGGGACTCCGCAGACCATCGAAGTTATGTGATAAATGTAACATGTTGAAAAATTCTACAACCGAAAACATGCAACAGAGTATACACATTTAACATGTATACTTAACGCATTTTAAAAAAAAAATTTCCATTATATTACGAAACGCATTCGTGTATAATTTATTTATTACGATAATCGTATATCTCAATGCTTCGGCGAGCCAAATGTTGAGACATTATAGCATCAGTCCTTATTTAAAACATATGTATATAGTTCGGATATATTATGGATTTTCTAGAAAGTGTTTTAAATTTAAACATATTTTTATTAACGCTTGAAATCAATGTAATATAAATGTCGATAGAGTTGTCCGGAAAAACGAATATTTAAAATTCAGAAATATGTATTAAAAAAAAAAAAACTAACCGTTGTTCTCGAAATTACATTTTAGTAATTTGAATTACTATGATATATCACTTAAATTAATCAATTAATACTTGACAACTCCATCTTATTGGGCTTGACATTATTATCAGCGATAACGATGTCTCCAAGTGGGATGAATATAATGGTTTCTAATGTTTTTTTTTTTATAATACACCGACAATTGTCCTCAATCAGTAATAGTTCTTGTTGATTAGGAACGTACTTAAATTGTACTTTATGTATTCTAGGCCAATATATTTATCAATTGTGCTTCAATTTATTTCCACTCATTTCCTAGTATGGCATAACGTTATTTTAAAGTTATCAACTTTGTTTACTTATTAATAATATTACTATATAATTTTTTATAAATATTATTCTATGGTATTATTTAATCTGTTCAGAGACCGAAAATTATATTGTTGATTGATCCACTAAAAAAACAATCAAAAACGGTGAAACATATATTGTAAGCGCTTAAAAGAATGCTACTAAAAAACTATTACGAGTACCGTCAGTTATTATCATTTTCAAGGACAGACATTTTTGGAAAAAAAAAAAAAATTAGTCATAATAATGCTAAATGTATACTGCAAAATAAGTTTTAGAAAGAAATATCGATGATATGTCGGAAGTTATAGGAAAAATGTACCTATATTTCAGAATGGCACATAAAACATTTGATCAATATTTAATCAAAAGTAACAATGAAAAATAATGTTCAAAAAATATACATTTTTCTTTGTACAGTAAAATATATTTTATGTATACTATAATGGAAACAAAAATTACAAAATAAAAATAAATTGCACGCCCATCTTTTTTGCTAGGTATTATTTTACGTTATGAGTGTTCTTTGCTCAACCATTTTCTTTCCGATCTAAATCAGTCATAATGTTTCAGAATAAAAACAGTATAATATACAAATTCGAACGTGCGCGCTACTGTAAAATGTTCTAATTAACGGAGTGATTATAGTGTAATATATGTCAATCACTTAAAAAATTGAAAATATTCTTCAACTCGATCTAAAAACTTTGTTAAAAAAATAAATAGTCTCCCATGATAACAAAAAACTACTGCAGACAAGGTTACTTATATTAGATATTTATAGCGATTTATCCATCAGATAATGTGCCATTGACCAGCCCATAAATTAGATCATTTTTATTTCATTTTTTTTTATACTTATTGTACACAACTCTGTGCAGTTTTCGCGAGTTGCACATCATTACCTTCAATAATATCAACATGTATTATGCATAAGGTTATATGGAATTATTAACCAATCGTTTATGTTGTTTTTAAGTATTTTAAGTTAAAATAAAACAAGCATGATACTGTATAGTGTTGCGAAAGTACAGACTTGATTTGATCGACGGAATCCAAGAGAAAGAAAATAAAAAGCAAAAATATATCTTATAGAATAATAAACGAACTATTATGATGCTTTGCCGGTTCTTCTGATGAAACTAGATGTTCTTGATATTATAGATAACTAGCTGAATTACCCAGCCTCGTCTGGAGGAAAATTAACTGTTTTAAATTAGAAAAATTACCCAAATACTTAACCTAAAAACTTTAGGTTGGAAAAAGCGCAAAATATTTATGTATTCGAATGTTATCAATTGCTATTGATGTATAATATATATTAATTAATAAATAAATATCTTAAATCGACCCGAATCGAGAACGTAATAGAAAAAGTGTTAATTGATAATTAATTCGGGTTCAGAAGGAACAAAGGTACTAGAGAGGCAATATTAAGCTTAAAAATATTGATAGAAAAATTAATAGAGCTTAATTAAGACACATAACATTTATAGATCTGGAAAAGGCTTTTGATAATGTACCGCGAAAAAAACTATTCTATACTTTAGAAGGAATCGGAGCTGACTATAGAGATAGAAGAATAATATTTAATTTATACAAAGACCACTCGACTGCAATAAAAGTAACGGACAAAAAAGAAACTGCGATAATTAGGAAGGGTGTAAGACAAGGGAGTTCACTTTCGCCAATTGTATTTAATATGTATATCAAACAGCCTATTAAAGAAATAAGAGAAACACTGCACAGAAATAATATGGGCATAAAAGTGGGCGGCGAAATGATATCCTTCTTAAGATTCGCTGACGATATTTCATTACTAACAAATATCAAATGATATCCGAGGCTGGACTAAAAAGTTACACCGAACTGAAAATGCTAGCTGTGAACAGAGAAGAGTGGAGATCGAATATTCAATTGCAAAACCAACCATAATGATTGAATACCAAAAAGAAGATATATCTTAACCAGCGATTATTAAAATGGATGTATTGAACAAAATCAAATATTTCCTAGTTAACCGAAAAGCGAAAAAATATATACAACAAAAAACTGTTTGGACTCTTACGATTTTCGAAAAATCACATTTTATTGGACCAAGATTCCATTTCGAAATCGTATCATAAAACGTTTACTTGCAACGGTAAGAACTACTTGTATTGCACTGTCGCACAGTTTATAGCGATTGATGGAAAGGTGGAAAGGTCAAAAGCGTTTGATGCGAATTTTTTCACGAGCGTTTAAGCTACAGGTGCGGAGCGTTAAAATCCCGACCCCGCGGCCCTGCTGGTCGACGAAAAACACCGACGTGCGATTATTGACTAACCGCGAACGGCATTTTTTCGGACCTTTCCGCGACGAGCGTTGTGCGTGGTGTACACGTGTATGCGAACCGCGAGACGATCGCTGTTAGTGGCGCGTAAACTCCGAGAAGACCGTTGGCCCGTGACGACGACGGCTGCGGCGGCGCGCGTTCCCGAGTCGCGCGGAGGTGGTACCGTCTTCGAGAGCGGTTCCGCGAGAGACTTCGACGCACAACGTCCGTCGCATCCAAACCGCATACACCGCTGTTGGTCGTCCGTCGCACGCGCGCGCCCACACGAAACACGCACTTGTACGCCGTCCGCGCGTCCCGTCGATCCTGCTCCTGTCGACCGGCTCTCTCACGTGACCGCGGTCCGCCCGGGACGTTTCGTACGCGCGATACCGCAGTCGTAGTCGTGACGCGCGTTCATCTCACGGCGTTCGGTGTGTTATATATCGTCAGGTGTTCGGCGACCGATCGGAAAACACGATAACAGTACACGCGCAAAGCGCGCGCGAGCTCGTTCCACCGATTTTTTATTTCATTTCGTTTTATTTTTATTTTTCCTTTTTTTTCTTCTCCTTTACCCAGCGCATTTGATCCCGCCAAAAAGTATCCTCGGCCCGTCGGTTCGGGTTCGTCGTATTTTATTTGTTTTGTTTTTTTTTTTTCCGAAAATGGATGGAACTGTTTTCCGCGCCGTCGTCTTGCTGACAATCATATTCAAGGTGAGCCCATACTCTGTTGTACAGTATCTTCTATTATTAAATGTTGATATTGTGTGTTATATTCGCGCGTATGATTGTAATACAGTATTACGCGGTTTTCAGAGCGATTTACGCTGTTGTATCACGTGCGTATATTAGCGGTGAATTCTCAAAAAAAATTTAAAAAAATTATTAAACAAAATCTCTGAAAACCCCAAAAACTACTTTTACCATACCTATTATACACGCACGAATAATATGATTATTTGCCGTCCTGCCCTTTGAGTTTTCAAGATCGTACTGGAAATATTCTTAAAACAGATTGCATTTTACGTGCCGAGATCATCGTACGGCAGCAGAGATCGATTAGAGTTTACGTATTTATATATAAATATGGATTGTTGTTGTTGTGATTGATACCGTATGATTGGTCAGTTACGACCGATTACCGGCAATCGAGCGAGATCATTTTATTCGTGAAAAAAACGTCAAATTGAGGTTTTTTTGTTTTTCAGCGCATTATCGAAACTCATAAACGCACGTCCCCCAAATAATAATAATATTGTACCCATTTCCAAAACCAATTTGATTGATCTAGAAATAACGGTTGATCATGTTTTTATTCCCGACGATTATTGCAGTCTTATGGTGACTGCTTCGGACGTGTAACACGATTTTCACGTATATTAATAAAGACGAGGTACTCGTGAGATATTAATTTAAAAAAAAAAAAAAAAAAATTTAACATTAATTTGTAATTCTGACGAAAACATGGATTAATCGTTTTGCCGTTATTGTTTATACGTTCGGAGTGCACTCGTGTTCCCACAATTATACATTATCAGAATACCATTGTAATAGTAAATTACAATATTTAACAAGAATCTGGAAATCTAGAACAGTTTACAATTACAGAAATTAGTTCAAATCACATTTCGATATTCTTTTGTTCTCAATGGTTTCGATGGAACCGAATAAGTGATCTTTGACTCATGTTTACCGTTAAGAACTTGCAGTAGTACATATTTCACTCCACCATGAGTTTAAACGTGTACGAGGTGTCCGATTTTTGCGAACATTTTTTTTATTTTCGTGTATTGCCCATTAATATATTATATTCTCGGTAAAACAGACTTTCGTTAGAGTTCGATTAAAAGTTCGTCAAAATCGCAACACTTGAAGCGTAAATCAGAATTGCAGTTCTGCTCGAGAAACTGGGTTAAACGCCAGATGATTTATCGCTGGGCTTTATTTGTTTTTTGTGTACGCGGAGTAATACTTCTAATATTACCGATATTATATAGACCAAATAAAAATGCACGCGTGTAGTGAAACTAAATTCGAAAAACAAAGACACGAAAAAATTCATAAGAACGATTCTGTTATCTTATCGGTACTCGTTACACATGCACTCGTATACATTCGTATTCACGCACGGCACGTATTTACGGTCCGTTGAAGTCTTTCCGCGATCGGTATCAGGATCGGGACGCGTATTATAGTTAAATGGTTTGCAGACATGGGAGCTGTATTCACGCATAATAATACGGTACGGTGTATAGGTAATAACCGGTATAGTACAAATGTGTGGTGAACTACAAACGCGTTGTTGCTATCAAAGTAGGTAAAACCGTTCCACTGTAACGATGCGGCTTCTTCAACAACTTCTTCGGCCGTAAAATTAATTTAATTTAACGTAATAGTATGATTATAATAATTATTATAGCAACGATAATGTAATATGTAATATCGAACACGTATCGACGATTAAAAAATAACTGTTTTAATCGTATTGCTCGGATGTGGTCGGTTGCAATCGCAGGTGATGCGTTCGCATGTATGCATACATACGAATATATGTACAGTGGCGCGAACAAAATGGGTGTTTCGGGTGTCTGGACACCCCCTCATGAGTTTATAGAAATTTTATTCGACGGTTGTCCAACAAATTGTTTAAAATTTATAACGTTCAATTGCCGTCGTGTTTTATTCGTAAGGTTTATTTGAACACATTGTAATACTATTATAGCAGTTGAATGTAAATCGTTAAACGCTATAACTAATAAATGTACATAATGACTTTTATTCATATAGTATATAGAGAAAATTCTGAAATGTATCATCAATTATGGTGAAAATAAACATATCATTACAACCTGCTATACTAACTACTAACTACTATACTATACAACTACTCTAAATTATGATGATAATGATAATTAAAAGTGTGTATCTTTTTTTATTTTTTCCAAAAAATCGGCAATACACCCACCTACTGGAAATGCCATACTAGTAAATACCTAATAGCTAATATTTTCGATTTATCCTCATCAAAAGTTGGATGGTATAATATTTTTTTTGACTGCCTGTGCGTACGTGTTATTTAACATTTAAGTTGTTCGAATGTTATAGTCGCCGTCGAGCAAATAAAACGAATAAACTGCTAATAATAATAGTATAACCGACTTTTTTGCTTAAAATATTTAAAAAATACCGAAAACATACCTCAGAAACTCAATATCAACGTGTAAATTAAATGAATTAGTAACGTCGAATATTTACTGTGTAATTGCAATTACTACAGATGACGTAATAAAAAAGAGCTAACTCGGAAAAAAAAACAAAATTAGTAAAATTGTAATATTTACAAAAACTTTCTAAAATGTCTTTATATTTGACGTAACTACTAAAATTATATGTGATTTATCTCTAAAAATAAATGTTGGTAATGATTTTCAGTTTATCGAATGAATGCCAAACACAGAAATAATTACAGTTGTAGGTTTTAATAAGATAATACAATAAATATTAAATTCGAAATTCTATAATTATTAGCTTTTAAAAAATAACTGTACAGGTGTATATACTATATTATATTTTACATTATAACACTAGTGAACATCCCCCTTGAAAAAATCCTGGTTGCGCCACTGTACATGTATGTATAAATGCATAAGTATATACATGTACACTCGCTAAATATGTTGTGATGATCTCGTTTCGAGAAAATACCTTGAACGAACTACCAGCAATTTAAATAATGCATTCAGTTTATAAATATTGTGTGCAGTCCAATCAGTTTTTATAAATGATTTAAATTATAAATACTTATCGGATCGATTTAATTAGAAATGTATTTATGTAGGTTTAGAAAGATTTGATACGATTTCACTTGATTCCACTGTTTATTTTAAACCAATAATTGTGTTAGGTAAATCTGTACGTAAAACTTTATTCTATTTATTTTTTTATTTTGACGTGTATAGAGTACAGTAAGTCCACTAAATTATTAATGAATTTTTTAAAATCAAAATAATCACCAAACAACAGTTTTACACATCTATAATAATTCTAACTCGTAAAGATATAATTTTGAATGACTAACATTGAACATATTTTGAAGTTTATGTTCAGTAAACGAATTAGAAAAACTATGCTTTTTATTTTGTGGTGTATATAGAATTTTTTTCCACCGCACTTGTACGCGTTAACAACAGAATAAAACATTCTGCCACGATGTAATTATAATACAGTTTCAAACATATTATAATAATATAACGACCATCAATAATTTTCTGAAATAAACTCAAGGGGAGTTTTCTTATTTTAACCGAACGACGATTACACAGCTACTCTTAAATATAAATATCTATAATTTGAGTTTTTCTGGGGAGGGCGGGGGAGGGGGGACAAAACTGATCCGTGACAGAAGGCGCTCTTCAGTAAGACGTTGGATAATTTATGGTCACGAAAATGCGATTATAGGTTGTATGTACGTACAATATTATTATGGTATTGGTTTACGGGCGTTTCGTGCAGAGTACAAAGAAGTCGAGACGCACTTACCGCGGATAAGAGGCGTACCGACATTGACGTAATTAGAGCGTAATCGAAATGAACGTAATACGGTGGCGCCGGAGCACACGACTGCAGCAGGTGGATTAGTGATCGTAGTGTGTGATATTGAAATATTTACATATTCATGGTACCTGCACGGGTGTGTACAGCGTCTCCACGTCGTTAACACAATGCGTACGAATGGGTCGGATCCACGGCCAAGTAATTAATACGGATAACTCCAACGGTATAGCTGTACTTTTGACGAACGAAATTGGTTATAGGTGACTGGATCCGTTGGAAATACGTTAATTTACTACTCGCGCGCGGTGTAGATGTGCGTTGTTAATTATGTTTTAATAATAATATTTAGATCGTTACGTGTTGGGGTACATAATACGCAATATCTTATGATTATTATTGCTCGTATTATCGTTATTATCACTGTTGTGCTATATGTTGCGTCGCATTATTTCGGTAATATCACGCGCTAATAATATTTGAATTTATAATTATTTTGTTTCGCGAAGTACACACTTTAGCGCACGCGCGCATGTTACAATACGATGCGTTAAAATTACACGTGAAAAATATAAGTCACTGGGCCGTTTCATATAGTGTATTACGTTACGGTCCACGAGGTTTTTCGTATTTTCTTACGGAAAACAAAACATTTGGCGTCCGCGATGATGACGAACTAGGCCGATCTGAATTAAAAGTCATCTAAAGTCAGAGGGTTTTTGCTTTTCGTGATGAAGACGCACATCGTGTTTTACTCGGACGACGATCGTTGACCAAGTTTACGTATTATAATAAGTGCACATCGAAAACTATAACTGTCAAATTATCGCTGAACAAGTAAAAACAACGTTCATCCCGCAGTAGACGTCGATTATAGGCAATCACAAATATTATAAGTAGAGCGCGATGAATGAGAATACCGCGTGAACATTTTGAATTTATTTTAGCGTGCAATCGATCGAAATGCGTATTTTATGTGACACTAAAACGTTAGATAGTTCTGGTCACATTTTTCAAGCACACGTCGTTCGTGCGCATGGTCACCATATGACTCTTGAGTTAGTTAAATAGGTAAGTCTTAACTGTTTCGGATCGAAATGATCTAGTTACGCCTTGTAAAATACGAATAAATCGATTGGAGGACCATTTGTAATATAGTAAAT